CCTCTAATTTATGCGTGATAGTTGATATGCCATCTTCAAAAGGCGCTACCAAACCATCTTCATCCAACATTCCACCTACGTTTAATATAGCTAACATTCTATCACCTGAAACTCAGACAGAAACATCAAGAAGTAGACAGAATGGAGACGATACTGAAATCACCGAGAATATTAAATGTATTGAGAATACACAACCAATTTTAAATAATCGTAAGTCATCAGATCTTGTTTCAGTGTGAACAATGTGCATGCAAATGTTCACATTGAAACAAGATCTGATGACTTACGATTATTTAAAATTGGTTGTGTATTCTCAATACATTTAATATTCTCGGTGATTTCAGTATCGTCTCCATTCTGTCTACTTCTTGATGTTTCTGTCTGAGTTTCAGGTGATAGAATGTTAGCTATATTAAACGTAGGTGGAATGTTGGATGAAGATGGTTTGGTAGCGCCTTTTGAAGATGGCATATCAACTATCACGCATAAATTAGAGGAATTCGCTGGTGCATTTCAACTTTCTAGTTGTGACGGTGACTCTGCAGAAGGTAATGGCATATGTATGAATGAAAATTGAGAGGGAATTTAGATATGTTTGTAAATGAATCACCGGAATAACAATCAGTATACTGCGTTCTGTTAGAGAAACAAGAATTCAACTGGTTAACAGGTCAGGACTGGGTTTATGTCTCGGAAAGCTTGTCCAGTAAAAGGCATCTAGGCATATAGTCAAAAGCATGTATTCATATATATAGTCAAGGAGGGACAACGAGAGAGGTAATTACAATAGGTATGAATTTAACATTCATACCAGGACATGATTTGTGTACCGGGATATTTGTAAAATCTTTCTATGCTACAGGTACAACACTACTGGCAAAAGAAGCATTGAAAATTTTTATAATAGGATAACGTGAAATATCAGAAATATCAGCAGAAGATGTCCATCTTCTGACGACGAACAAGTAACTATTCCGTAGACTTTCAATAAATCTGAAGATTTTGTCAGACAGCCTCCATAAAAGGATCGAAAACTTCTATCCCAGAATTAATGTTTATGTAACAACGTAAACTTAGATATTACACTGAACTCCTTGTAAAAAAGAGTACAATGTTACCCTCAATAGACTGCAGTCTGAGTGAATAGAATATGGATTAAAATAAAGCAAATTATCCACCATTACTAATCCCAATGTGGCACCAGGGAACTCTGACAACCAACCAGCAAAATATTTAGTTAAGTAGTCCCGAAGAGACTAAAAGATGCTCTAGATGCAAAACTCCGCCCTGAACAAGCTGAATTCATGGAAAGCAAAGTGCGTGCTGATTAAATTGCAGAGCTACGCATCACCAGACTTTTATCAACAGCTGGCCATTTCGCTGACTCCATACTGAAGATTATTCGATCAGAATGGATTAGTAACAAGGGATTCTGGTAACGAGCCAGACAAGAACCTATTGACCGACAAATATACCAGGGAAAATGGAGATGAAGTGGACACATGTTAGTGGCTTTATCTCTGGTCTAGGCTGAAAAGTCTTACCATAAATCCCTCCACACGTCAGACAGCTGACTTCATCTTTAGGCATAAACCTGATCTACAAGGATCGCTTCTCTCACAAGAATTCTTGTATCACAAAGAGCACTGAAACAGAAACTAAGTCAAGAATAAATTACCTCGGAATACCTCTATCCTCTGGCATATTTCCATCATACAATATCTTGTCGACTTCAAAGAAAATGTTCCGCCTAACCTTCTGTATTAAGAAATTGAGACAGTCACAAATCCTTAAACCTCTAATTTTACAAATTCTCAAATCCTGTATGTTAAATAATCTATTTTAATGCCCAACATTAGTCTTCCTTGATACACTCAGTGAAAGACAATGTCATATAACAGAGGGTAATGATGTTTGTCAGTAGGGCGAGTAGTGTTCCACTAAGTCAGCTCGTTATTACTATAGTCGACAGACACATGAACTTATATGAGAAATGGTCTGAATCCATATTGTCTGACTCTCAACACCCTCTTTATTCTCAACTCTCCCTCACGTTGAATCTCCTCAGTCGGGACTAGAAGTCATTATAAATGATTTTATGTTAGCACAACAACAGTGTTCCTTGAAATGTGCATGATACCGGACGGATATTGGAACCGAGGGAAGTAGAGTAATATGGGAACTCCACTCTGTTACACTGCAATCCAACTATCCCTTGTACTCACTCATAAACCCATCAGATGTACACAACTGACTTTACACACGAGTGGTAGTCTGAGTAAATGGAAAAGTGAAAACACTTATTTCTATATTTGTATCCTATAGGATTTGATCTAAAATTCCAGAGAGAAGTTTCGATTGGATTTCCATCAAGACTACATCATGGTTCACTGTTCACCTCGACAGACAAATATGAACTGGTAGTTCCCTTGTAGACATACACTGGTCAAAATAGCAACTGAGTGGTTTACAGAGCCTAGTGGATGCTATTATTTATTGGGAGAAAGAAGTTCTGTACAAGACAGTAGAAAGAGTAGACACTTTCGAGCTACATATCCACTGAGATGAATTACTGTCATGAAAGTGATAACACATTATTAAATGGTAACTTGTTTGGGTATTTTGTGGCTTAAACCTTAATGAAAAGAAAACACTTAGTTCGGTGAAGAGGCTGTTTTCGGGGAATTCATTTTCCTCACCAACTGTACAGTCAGTGACATTTCTGCATAATTTTTTCATGCAGGAAGAAATTAATAAAAGTGAGCAGTATTCACAAGTCTAGTTGTTAGTGTTAATCATTCAAATAAACTAAGTGAATAAATGTGTAATAAGATGACTAATTTAATGTGTGTTAGTGTTAATCAGTCGAATGAAAGTGCAATAAGATGACTAATTTAATGTGTGAGTTGTAATCAGAATGCAAATCGAAACGAAGGAGGAAAATATGGAAATATCTAGGAGACATAAAGAGGGAAATACAAGAATGATAGGAAGTTGGGTGAGTAGAAATCAACAAGATTGTTATCTTGATAGTAGATATGGTTGAATGATTTTGTTTTGAATGCAAAGCTGGTGTAACTGTTGTTTGTTTATAACACTATTACATCATTCGATATTTCCTTCGTTTCGATGTGAATGGTGATCACAACTCACATGCATTAAATTAGTCATCTTTTTACGTAGCTGTAATTAGCCATCGTTACATGAATGTATAAACCCGACTACTTTGCCCCCCTCCCCGTAAACCTTTAAAAATTGTAAAAATTATAAGTGTCTTAATTTTTTTTAACTTTTCTGACTACTTCATCTTTAATTAAATGTTATCCTTGTAAAATTATTTTATTCTTATGACCACTTCCGCCTTAGTTACAAATTATAATTTTCCAAATCGTTTTATTTTCTTTGACAATCTATCACGTAGTCAACCTGTGAACACGCTTATTACCTAATTACTCTTCATTTTTCGAAAAACTATGCATTATGCAATCCACATGTTTTAACCATTTCTACCTTTTAATTGTGTGTATTAATTTTCTTCGTGAATTATCACCCCATTGACATTTTGACACTGACTTATTATTGGTAACAGGCATACCAGTGCCACTTGATTGGCAAATTGTTGTGTATGGTAATGAAAATGCTATAAATATATTAGAGTAGAGCGAGAGATGAGGATCTAATTGAAAAGTAAATATTTCTTCGCTGAATCTTTCTGGTAAGTGTAATCCACTTGTTCAGCTGCTCACATGCACTGACTAATACTAATTAGCGACTGCGATTATGACAAATAGTCATCATTGCATATAAATACGATTGTACAACTAAGGGGAAAGGGGAATTCCTCTAAAAGAGCCTCTTCGATGAAATACTTGTCCTGTCCTACCTGTCCTGCCCAATACCAACACAGAACGGGAAACGTATTCTACTTGGACAGTTCATTTAAATAAAACTGCTTTCCAAAGGATCGTAAAATTACTATTATTATCACTATTAACCCCTTGAGTTGTGAGTGGAACACAGAGCTCTTCAACAACACATTCCCATTTTATCCTGTTCCTCCTATAATTCTCTTTAGCCAGCTCGTCCACTGCTCATAAGCCTTCATCTCCTCCTTACACATTTTCCTCTGTGTGACACTCAGGAGCCTAACTTACCGTTTCCCACTTAGCCTCCACTCGAAGGCATATCTGGAACACGATGTCAATCAGCAGTCTACTCATTGGGTGTCCAAGGTGACCGCTGAGTAAAATCATGTGTCCAAAATTATCCTCATATTTTAAAGAAACTAACTGTATAAAGAAGGAGTTGAAAGCATACAGAACACCCTGGACGCGAAACACAATTCAATGTAAACGTGGAAAAAAAATCTCGGTACAACAAATACGAAGAGTACAGCAGAGTAATACCCGCCCTTAAGAGGGCTTTCTAATATATGTTAAGTGAATTTTATCTCTGCTGAAGAACAAGACCTACTGACTGTCAATGTCACAGGGAATTCCTCCGAAAACATAGTTGACTTTGATTGAAGGTTTCCTCAGTTTTTATCATAACAGCAAGTGTTTACCGCTGAATAGTTCAAGTCGACTTGTTTCAGTTTCATTGAAAAAAGAAACCAGACATAAGCGAAAACAATTCACCAGGAAATACGAATATTGTTATTCTCCGTTACTTTCTCCTTCAGTTTATAAAAGCATTATTACCAGGCCAGTACCACGCATCTAATATTCTAATAGATTTTACGAATACGCCTAGATTATCCACATTAGACAGGAGTTTCATCAGCCGTTGAGAACTAACCAAAATGAGTCGGAAACTGAGCAGTTTAAGATTTGGAGCATCCTACACATAAAAATTACTCATTGGATATTATTATCGACAGTGAAAACAACGACTACCGGATAAATACTGAGGCCAATTTAACGCATGGATTTACATTACACTAACACTGTGATTTCTTGACTGAATAAGAGAAAACTAATGAACAATGTGCATGTAAATGTTCACATTGAAACAAGATCTGATGACTTACGATTATTTAAAATTGGTTGTGTATTCTCAATACATTTAATATTCTCGGTGATTTCAGTATCGTCTCCATTCTGTCTACTTCTTGATGTTTCTGTCTGAGTTTCAGGTGATAGAATGTTAGCTATATTAAACGTAGGTGGAATGTTGGATGAAGATGGTTTGGTAGCGCCTTTTGAAGATGGCATATCAACTATCACGCATAAATTAGAGGAATTTGCTGGTGCATTTGAACTTTCTAGTTGTGACGGTGACTCTGCAGAAGGTAATGGCATATGTATGAATGAAAATTGAGAGGGAATTTAGATATGTTTGTAAATGTCTCACCGGAATAACAATCAGTATACTGCGTTCTGTTAGAGAAACAGGAATTCAACTGGTTAACAGGTCAGGACTGGGTTTATGTCTCGGAAAGCTTGTCCAGTAAAAGGCATCTAGGCATATAGTCAAAAGCATGTATTCATATATATAGTCAAGGAGGGACAACGAGAGAGGTAATTACAATAGGTATGAATTTAACATTCATACCAGGACATGATTTGGGTACCTCCTGACTGGGGAGATTCAACGTGAGGGAGAGTTGAGAATAAAGAGGGTGTTGAGAGTCAGACAATATGGATTCAGACCATTTCTCATATAAGTTCATGTGTCTGTCGACTATAGTAATAACGAGCTGACTTAGTGGAACACTACTCGCCCTACTGACAAACATCATTACCCTCTGTTATATGACATTGTCTTTCACTGAGTGTATCAAGGAAGACTAAAGGGGAGCAATAAAGAAGAACAGGGAGCAAATAAATGTTTCACAATCGCGCTTATTGTTTTGCTCTATTAAAAGTCTGCACTTTTTCAACATTACAGTATTGTCGTGTTAACATTCCAACGACAATCGGCATTGTAACTAACATAATGGAGAAACAATGAAAACAAAATACGATAACTAAGGATTAAGTCATGGGAAATTTCCTCTTCACTCAAATCCCACCCCTCAACACACCTCAAACATTAATAAAACACAGGACAAGTAGTTCATCGAAGAGGCTCTTTTAGAGGAATTCCCCTTTCCCCTTAGTTGTACAATCGTATTTATATGCAATGATGACTATTTGTCATAATCGCAGTCGCTAATTAGTATTAGTCAGTGCATGTGAGCAGCTGAACAAGTGGATTACACTTACCAGAAAGATTCAGCGAAGAAATATTTACTTTTCAATTAGATCCTCATCTCTCGCTCTACTCTAATATATTTATAGCATTTTTATTACCATACACAACAATTTGCCAATCAAGTGGCACTGGTATGTTTGTTACCAATAATAAGTCAGTGTCAACATGTCAATGGGGTGATAATTCACGAAGAAAATTAATACACACAATTAAAAGGTAGAAATGGTTAAAACATGTGGATTGCATAATGCATAGTTTTTCGAAAAATGAAGAGTAATTAGGTAATAAGCGTGTTCACAGGTTGACTACGTGATAGATTGTCAAAGAAAATAAAACGATTTGGAAAATTATAATTTGTAACTAAGGCGGAAGTGGTCATAAGAATAAAATAATTTTACAAGGATAACATTTAATTAAAGATGAAGTAGTCAGAAAAGTTAAAAAAAATTAAGACACTTATAATTTTTACAATTTTTAAAGGTTTACGGGGAGGGGGGCAAAGTAGTCGGGTTTATACATTCTATATTCTACCTTGGTCTTAACCTCTTCACTAATCGTTCCTTGTAAATGAAATATTTTTTGATTTTTTCTTTTCATTCTACTTTCACTTTTAGTTAGCTTCTGCTTCAATAATTAATTCGCTATTATCACTCTCATATGCTTCTTTTGTATATTTTCACACCCTCTTCACACTTGTTAAATTGACACTCAAATACCTTTATTCTCACTTAATAGCAATTTTAACCTTATCAAATTTCTATCTTTTTGCCGTTGAGTACCACGTAATTTTCAACTTCTAATTTTCACTTCTAAAGCCACTTCTGAGTGATTATATCAATTATGTCACCCCCTATTACTCAATAATAGACCACAATATATTTTTGTAAGTATAAATACGATTGTACAGCCTCTGAAGATGATTTCGTCGATAAAGAAAATTGCCAAAATAACATAAGCTCCAATGTTTCTTTCTAATAATTACTAACAATAATTAAGAGATGATATGTGTCCACAGAGTCTGCTCTATCACTTTTATTTGACTGATATAATTGTCAGGATAAATAGAGGCATGAGTTCGTGGCATACAAGTCATTTACCTCACAGTGTTGCAAACGCTGGTCTATGACTAGATTGGATAGACTGTTTCACCACATAAATATTAAGCAGGTTAAATGTTTGGGAGCAATAGTGATGGCTTTAGTGTCAGCCAGTCGTCAACACAGATATCTCAAGATCCGGCATTTAATTCATGGCTCTTAGTTGGTAGGCCTATTTATCTTCAGGTGCATATGTATGCATATATATTGGATGATGTTCTTAAGGTATTCTTGTAATGAGCCACCAAATGTATAATATTTAAAAAAACACATAAAACACTCAGTGGTTCTAATCATATATTTCAGAAAGCCTTGTCTTTCAAGTTATTACTGTTCCCTTAGGTTCCTAGGCCTCCAGTAGTACATCCCTATTTGATCCTGTTTTCTAAGATTCTTCTCAACTGACGACAACCCTAATGATCATAAGCTCTCACCTCCTCCTCACACTGTCTTCTCACTGTCACCATTGGACACCCAACTCGTCATTTCCTATTCGCGTTTCACCCGAGTATCTGCCTGACGCATGATTTAACTCAATGGTGTCCTCAACATGTGTCCACTGCATCTCCATTTTCCCTGGTATATTTGTCGGTCAATAGGTTCTTGCCTGGCTCGTTACCAGAATCCCTTGTTACTAATCCATTCTGATCGAATAATCTTCAGTATGGAGTCAGCGAAATGGCCAGCTGTTGATAAAAGTCTGGTGATGCGTAGCTCTGCAATTTAATCAGCACGCACTTTGCTTTCCATGAATTCAGCTTGTTCAGGGCGGAGTTTTGTATCTAGAGCATCTTTTAGTCTCTTCGGGACTACTTAACTAAATATTTTGCTGGTTGGTTGTCAGAGTTCCCTGGTGCCACATTGGGATTAGTAATGGTGGATAATTTGCTTTATTTTAATCCATATTCTATTCACTCAGACTGCAGTCTATTGAGGGTAACATTGTACTCTTTTTTACAAGGAGTTCAGTGTAATATCTAAGTTTACGTTGTTACATAAACATTAATTCTGGGATAGAAGTTTTCGATCCTTTTATGGAGGCTGTCTGACAAAATCTTCAGATTTATTGAAAGTCTACGGAATAGTTACTTGTTCGTCGTCAGAAGATGTGCTGATATTTCATGTTATCCTATTATAAAAATTTTCAATGCTTCTTTTGCCAGTAGTGTTGTACCTGTAGCATAGAAAGATTTTACAAATATCCCGGTACACAAATCATGTCCTGGTATGAATGTTAAGTTCATACCTATTGTAATTACCTCTCTCGTTGTCCCTCCTTGACTATATATATGAATACATGCTTTTGATTATATGCCTAGATGCCTTTTACTGGACAAGCTTTCCGAGACATAAACCCAGTCCTGACCTGTTAACCAGTTGAATTCTTGTTTCTCTAACAGAACGCAGTATACTGTATGTAAAGACAAGTCTTCCTCTGGCTTGCCCACTGAGGCAGGAGTGCCTCAAGGTACTATTCTATCTCCATCTCTTTTTTCTTTCTTTTTGTATGACTAACCTATTTCTGATCAAATCAACTTCCTTAAATACCCCCTGATGATCTGACTGTCCGAAACTTAGTGGCTTTTTTTTCTTTTTTATACTTATATTAGTGGCTTTTTCTCTGGTCTAGGCTGAAAAGTCTTACCATAAATCCCTCCACACGTCAGACAGCTGACTTCATCTTTAGGCATAAACCTGATCTACAAGGATCGCTTCTCTCACAAGAATTCTTGTATCACAAAGAGCACTGAAACAGAAACTAAGTCAAGAATAAATTACCTCGGAATACCTCTATCCTCTGGCATATTTCCATCATACAATATCTTGTCGACTTCAAAGAAAATGTTCCGCCTAACCTTCTGTATTAAGAAATTGAGACAGTCACAAATCCTTAAACCTCTAATTTTACAAATTCTCAAATCCTGTATGTTAAATAATCTATTTTAATGCCCAACATTAGTCTTCCTTGATACACTCAGTGAAAGACAATGTCATATAACAGAGGGTAATGATGTTTGTCAGTAGGGCGAGTAGTGTTCCACTAAGTCAGCTCGTTATTACTATAGTCGACAGACACATGAACTTATATGAGAAATGGTCTGAATCCATATTGTCTGACTCTCAACACCCTCTTTATTCTCAACTCTCCCTCACGTTGAATCTCCTCAGTCGGGACTAGAAGTCATTATAAATGATTTTATGTTAGCACAACAACAGTGTTCCTTGAAATGTGCATGATACCGGACGGATATTGGAACCGAGGGAAGTAGAGTAATATGGGAACTCCACTCTGTTACACTGCAATCCAACTATCCCTTGTACTCACTCATAAACCCATCAGATGTACACAACTGACTTTACACACGAGTGGTAGTCTGAGTAAATGGAAAAGTGAAAACACTTATTTCTATATTTGTATCCTATAGGATTTGATCTAAAATTCCAGAGAGAAGTTTCGATTGGATTTCCATCAAGACTACATCATGGTTCTCTGTTCACCTCGACAGACAAATATGAACTGGTAGTTCCCTTGTAGACATACACTGGTCAAAATAGCAACTGAGTGGTTTACAGAGCCTAGTGGATGCTATTATTTATTGGGAGAAAGAAGTTCTGTACAAGACAGTAGAAAGAGTAGACACTTTCGAGCTACATATCCACTGAGATGAATTACTGTCATGAAAGTGATAACACATTATTAAATGGTAACTTGTTTGGGTATTTTGTGGCTTAAACCTTAATGAAAAGAAAACACTTAGTTCGGTGAAGAGGCTGTTTTCGGGGAATTCATTTTCCTCACCAACTGTACAGTCAGTGACATTTCTGCATGATTTTTTCATGCAGGAAGAAATTAATAAAAGTGAGCAGTATTCACAAGTCTAGTTGTTAGTGTTAATCATTCAAATAAACTAAGTGAATAAATGTGTAATAAGATGACTAATTTAATGTGTGTTAGTGTTAATCAGTCGAATGAAAGTGCAATAAGATGACTAATTTAATGTGTGAGTTGTAATCAGAATGCAAATCGAAACGAAGGAGGAAAATATGGAAATATCTAGGAGACATAAAGAGGGAAATACAAGAATGATAGGAAGTTGGGTGAGTAGAAATCAACAAGATTGTTATCTTGATAGTAGATATGGTTGAATGATTTTGTTTTGAATGCAAAGCTAGTGTAACTGTTGTTTGTTTATAACACTATTACATCATTCGATATTTCCTTCGTTTCGATGTGAATGGTGATCACAACTCACATGCATTAAATTAGTCATCTTTTTACGTAGCTGTAATTAGCCATCGTTACATGAATGTATAAACCCGACTACTTTGCCCCCCTCCCCGTAAACCTTTAAAAATTGTAAAAATTATAAGTGTCTTAATTTTTTTTAACTTTTCTGACTACTTCATCTTTAATTAAATGTTATCCTTGTAAAATTATTTTATTCTTATGACCACTTCCGCCTTAGTTACAAATTATAATTTTCCAAATCGTTTTATTTTCTTTGACAATCTATCACGTAATCAACCTGTGAACACGCTTATTACCTAATTACTCTTCATTTTTCGAAAAACTATGCATTATGCAATCCACATGTTTTAACCATTTCTACCTTTTAATTGTGTGTATTAATTTTCTTCGTGAATTATCACCCCATTGACATTTTGACACTGACTTATTATTGGTAACAGGCATACCAGTGCCACTTGATTGGCAAATTGTTGTGTATGGTAATAAAAATGCTATAAATATATTAGAGTAGAGCGAGAGATGAGGATCTAATTGAAAAGTAAATATTTCTTCGCTGAATCTTTCTGGTAAGTGTAATCCACTTGTTCAGCTGCTCACATGCACTGACTAATACTAACTAGCGACTGCGATTATGACAAATAGTCATCATTGCATATAAATACGATTGTACAACTAAGGGGAAAGGGGAATTCCTCTAAAAGAGCCTCTTCGATGAACTACTTGTCCTGTGTTTTATTAGTGTTTGAGGTGTGTTGAGGGGTGGGATTTGAGTGAAGAGGAAATTTCCCATGACTTAATCCTTAGTTATCGTATTTTGTTTTCATTGTTTCTCCATTATGTTAGTTACAATGCCGATTGTCGTTGGAATGTTAACACGACAATACTGTAATGTTGAAAAAGTGCAGACTTTTAATAGAGCAAAACAATAAGCGCGATTGTGAAACATTTATTTGCTCCCTGTTCTTCTTTATTGCTCCCCTTTAGTCTTCCTTGATACACTCAGTGAAAGACAATGTCATATAACAGAGGGTAATGATGTTTGTCAGTAGGGCGAGTAGTGTTCCACTAAGTCAGCTCGTTATTACTATAGTCGACAGACACATGAACTTATATGAGAAATGGTCTGAATCCATATTGTCTGACTCTCAACACCCTCTTTATTCTCAACTCTCCCTCACGTTGAATCTCCCCAGTCAGGAGGTACCCAAATCATGTCCTGGTATGAATGTTAAATTCATGCCTATTGTAATTACCTCTCTCGTTGTCCCTCCTTGACTATATATATGAATACATGCTTTTGACTATATGCCTAGATGCCTTTTACTGGACAAGCTTTCCGAGACATAAACCCAGTCCTGACCTGTTAACCAGTTGAATTCTTGTTTCTCTAACAGAACGCAGTATACTGATTGTTATTCCGGTGATTCATTTACAAACATATCTAAATTCCCTCTCAATTTTCATTCATACATATGCCATTACCTTCTGCAGAGTCACCGTCACAACTAGAAAGTTGAAATGCACCAGCGAATTCCTCTAATTTATGCGTGATAGTTGATATGCCATCTTCAAAAGGCGCTACCAAACCATCTTCATCCAACATTCCACCTACGTTTAATATAGCTAACATTCTATCACCTGAAACTCAGACAGAAACATCAAGAAGTAGACAGAATGGAGACGATACTGAAATCACCGAGAATATTAAATGTATTGAGAATACACAACCAATTTTAAATAATCGTAAGTCATCAGATCTTGTTTCAATGTGAACATTTACATGCACATTGTTCACACTGAAACAAGATCTGATGACTTACGATTATTTAAAATTGGTTGTGTATTCTCAATACATTTAATATTCTCGGTGATTTCAGTATCGTCTCCATTCTGTCTACTTCTTGATGTTTCTGTCTGAGTTTCAGGTGATAGAATGTTAGCTATATTAAACGTAGGTGGAATGTTGGATGAAGATGGTTTGGTAGCGCCTTTTGAAGATGGCATATCAACTATCACGCATAAATTAGAGGAATTCGCTGGTGCATTTCAACTTTCTAGTTGTGACGGTGACTCTGCAGAAGGTAATGGCATATGTATGAATGAAAATTGAGAGGGAATTTAGATATGTTTGTAAATGAATCACCGGAATAACAATCAGTATACTGCGTTCTGTTAGAGAAACAAGAATTCAACTGGTTAACAGGTCAGGACTGGGTTTATGTCTCGGAAAGCTTGTCCAGTAAAAGGCATCTAGGCATATAGTCAAAAGCATGTATTCATATATATAGTCAAGGAGGGACAACGAGAGAGGTAATTACAATAGGTATGAATTTAACATTCATACCAGGACATGATTTGTGTACCGGGATATTTGTAAAATCTTTCTATGCTACAGGTACAACACTACTGGCAAAAGAAGCATTGAAAATTTTTATAATAGGATAACGTGAAATATCAGAAATATCAGCAGAAGATGTCCATCTTCTGACGACGAACAAGTAACTATTCCGTAGACTTTCAATAAATCTGAAGATTTTGTCAGACAGCCTCCATAAAAGGATCGAAAACTTCTATCCCAGAATTAATGTTTATGTAACAACGTAAACTTAGATATTACACTGAACTCCTTGTTAAATAGAGTACAATGTTACCCTCAATAGACTGCAGTCTGAGTGAATAGAATATGTATAAAAATAAAGCAAATTATCCACCATTACTAATCCCAATGTGGCACCAGGGAACTCTGACAACCAACCAGCAAAATATTTAGTTAAGTAGTCCCGAAGAGACTAAAAGATGCTCTAGATACAAAACTCCGCCCTGAACAAGCTGAATTCATGGAAAGCAAAGTGCGTGCTGATTAAATTGCAGAGCTACGCATCACCAGACTTTTATCAACAGCTGGCCATTTCGCTGACTCCATACTGAAGATTATTCGATCAGAATGGATTAGTAACAAGGGATTCTGGTAACGAGCCAGGCAAGAACCTATTGACCGACAAATATACCAGGGAAAATGGAGATGCAGTGGACACATGTTGAGGACACCATTGAGTTAAATCATGCGTCAGGCAGATACTCGGGTGAAACGCGAATAGGAAATGACGAGTTGGGTGTCCAATGGTGACAGTGAGAAGACAGTGTGAGGAGGAGGTGAGAGCTTATGATCATTAGGGTTGTCGTCAGTTGAGAAGAATCTTAGAAAACAGGATCAAATAGGGATGTACTACTGGAGGCCTAGGAACCTAAGGGAACAGTAATAACTTGAAAGACAAGGCTTTCTGAAATATATGATTAGAACCACTGAGTGTTTTATGTGTTTTTTTAAATATTATACATTTGGTGGCTCATTACAAGAATACCTTAAGAACATCATCCAATATATATGCATACATATGCACCTGAAGATAAATAGGCCTACCAACTAAGAGCCATGAATTAAATGCCGGATCTTGAGATATCTGTGTTGACGACTGGCTGACACTAAAGCCATCACTATTGCTCCCAAACATTTAACCTGCTTAATATTTATGTGGTGAAACAGTCTATCCAATCTAGTCATAGACCAGCGTTTGCAACACTGTGAGGTAAATGACTTGTATGCCACGAACTCATGCCTCTATTTATCCTGACAATTATATCAGTCAAATAAAAGTGATAGAGCAGACTCTGTGGACACATATCATCTCTTAATTATTGTTAGTAATTATTAGAAAGAAACATTGGAGCTTATGTTATTTTGGCAATTTCATATTGGCTGCAAGAAAACTTCATAGCTAGTCTTCAAATGTTGGTTTCCAGGGATTCGATTGTTCACCGGTTTGATCCTGGGTTTGAATTTCGGTGGATGCGTACGGATGAAGCAGCTAGTTGTCAGAGTCATCCTAGTTTAAGTGACCGGTAAGTTTCATTTAGTTCATAAGGTATAAGTATATCACGTGAATCTGTATACACTCAGCGATCACCGCATTATGATAGAATAAGCTTAGTCACCTAAAAATACAGCCTCAAGGATCACAGCCAATCAACATAAGTTGTTATTATTTAGACCTTCCTAGAAAATACTTGAGTATTCAAAAAATACGCTTTAAATTTTCACCATTATTTGTTTTGGATTCCTCACGTTCCGAGGGGAACATAGGGTTTCAGGCTTATGGCCTTAAAGTTTCAGTAGCGATGGAGTAGTTTTTTACAGGGTGAAGTTGCTGACCTCACTACATAACCCCTAGTCTGCCAGATGTTTACAGGCAATCGGCAGGAAACCTTGGACTTAAGCTTCGTGCTTCATTGGCACTCACCAGACACCAAGACGTATCAACAATCCTGAAGGAGCTTATGTCCTTTCGGAGATCCGAACCCATATCACCCAGTAAGGCAGTCAAAAACGTTATTACTTCTGAGCTATTTTGAGTCAGCATTGACCTCATGTAGAACTGTGATGCAAACTTTGATTGGTGTTGATGCACACTAATTCAACTGATAGACCTGAGTGACGTTTAACCGAACCTAGAACTTATCATTAAAGCTTCAGACCCTGACATTTTGCTAATAAATGTTGCTAAGAGATTAGATTTAAGTATTATTCTACACAATTAATCATATAGGTCCAATGAACACACTGTAGAAAATCCTTTTTATCATTCTACACTGGTAGACAGAGAGAGATTTAAAGAGTAACACCAGCAGGCGGGAAAGCCGACTTAAACCTGTCATCTGAGTTTACGACACCGCGTTTCTCTTCAATGTTCGTCAAAAGAGAAAAAAATACATAGAGTGGAAATTAAAAATGCATACTACGGAAATAATAGGAATAGACTATCCTACTGAAATAAAATCCTCTCTTCCCCCATTGTAGATGAAACAAAGGGACTGGGATTTGACTTCTTTTTTAAGGACAATCATATATGTTCAATAGTATATTTAGCCCAATACCAACACAGAACGGGAAACGTATTCTACTAGGACAGTTCATTTAAATAAAACTGCTTTCCAAAGGATCGTAAAATTACTATTATTATCACTATTAACCCCTTGAGTTGTGAGTGGAACACAGAGCTCTTCAACAACACATTCCCATTTTATCCTGTTCCTCCTATAATTCTCTTTAGCCAGCTCGTCCACTGCTCATAAGCCTTCATCTCCTCCTTACACATTTTCCTCTGTGTGACACTCAGGAGCCTAACTTACCGTTTCCCACTTAGCCTCCACTCGAAGGCATATCTGGAACACGATGTCAATCAGCAGTCTACTCATTGGGTGTCCAAGGTGACCGCTGAGTAAAATCATGTGTCCAAAATTATCCTCATATTTTAAAGAAACTAACTGTATAAAGAAGGAGTTGAAAGCATACAGAACACCCTGGACGCGAAACACAATTCAATGTAAACGTGGAAAAAAAATCTCGGTACAACAAATACGAAGAGTACAGCAGAGTAATACCCGCCCTTAAGAGGGCTTTCTAATATATGTTAAGTGAATTTTATCTCTGCTGAAGAACAAGACCTACTGACTGTCAATGTCACAGGGAATTCCTCCGAAAACATAGTTGACTTTGATTGAAGGTTTCCTCAGTTTTTATCATAACAGCAAGTGTTTACCGCTGAATAGTTCAAGTCGACTTGTTTCAGTTTCATTGAAAAAAGAAACCAGACATAAGCGAAAACAATTCACCAGGAAATACGAATATTGTTATTCTCCGTTACTTTCTCCTTCAGTTTATAAAAGCATTATTACCAGGCCAGTACCACGCATCTAATATTCTAATAGATTTTACGAATACGCCTAGATTATCCACATTAGACAGGAGTTTCATCAGCCGTTGGGAATTAACCAAAATGAGTCGGAAACTGAGCAGTTTGAGATTTGGAGCATCCTACACATAAAAATTACTCATTGGATATTATTATCGACAGTCAAAATAACGACTACCGGATAAATACTGAGGCCAATTTAACGCATGGATTTACATTACACTGACACTGTGATTACTTGACTGAATAAGAGAAAACTAATGAACAATGTGCATGTAAATGTTCACATTGAAACAAGATCTGATGACTTACGATTATTTAAAATGGTTGTTTGATTTCAGTATCGTCTCCATTCTGTCTACTTCTTGATGTTTCTGTCTGAGTTTCAGGTGATAGAATGTTAGCTATATTAAACGTAGGTGGAATGTTGGATGAAGATGGTTTGGTAGCGCCTTTTGAAGATGGCATATCAACTATCATGCATAAATTAGGGGAATTTGCTGGTGCATTTGAACTTTCTAGTTGTGACGGTGACTCTGCAGAAGGTAATGGCATGTGTATGAATTAAAATTGAGAGGGAATTTAGATATGTTTGTAAATGTCTCACAGGAATTATGATCACGTTTGCAATAAAAGTTGAGTGATAAAACTTGGGAAATGCTAGGGCAAGGTAGCAATAAGACTCCGGGGACGGCGATGCCCCGTGGGTGAATTAGAAAAATGAACAGTCTGAAAGAAACTGCTTGTATATATAATTGTCACCTGGACCAATGGGCTGACTTTCACCCCCACTGCTTCAACCACAGCTAGGACGACAACATTGGATAGTAAGATAGACAGATAGAATAACCTTTCTGTCCGTCTATCTGAGTGTGTTCTGATTGGTCAAGCCCACCTACATTGTGACTGTATTGAACCAATACATAGACAAGCGTTAGCATTTTGTTTGTTATAACGACTTCTGTTGCTGATATCCTATAAGACGACGACTAGCTCTAAGTGGCACGGTAAAATCAATCGATCAAGCAATCAATCTTGTGTATTATTAAACTCATTATAAAACAATGTATGTTGAAAGTACATTCATGTCTCTGATTGCATCAAAACAGAAAAAAAATAAACAAACAAACGAATAAATGTTAGTGAGAAAACTAAGTAGTTCTTCTCTGAGTATATTTTCGACTAGAAATACTCGGACTTGTGTATAAAGTATACGTATAAACTATCATTGCATTAGGGGTTAAAGAAATCAGTTACCTATGTGAATGTCAACTAAACAAGAACATGCAATTTACTACCTGAAACACTTAAGGCAATCTCAAAACACTCACATAGTATATTTAGATAATAATTTTGAGTTTCTGATAATAGCTTGATTCCACACCGTACTATTGGTACATGTATGAAATTTCCAGCATGTGATATCGGTAACCGAAATTTCGCAGGCCGATCAATTGATATCAGGTGTGAGTCTGTAGGGGATCGAACCCCGGACCATTTGCATGGTCGGCGAGAGTCTTAACCTCTGTGCCACCGACGCACAACGCAAGGGACTGTATTAGAGTAAGTGGGATGTACAAATACGGTGAAGAACGTCTTTCGAACTGTTCTTGGTGATCTGCTTCAAAATCGCACAACAGTTTGTCATACAATCAATATTCACTCCGTTGTTTACCTCTTATTCTTTAGTTTCAGACAACTAACTTTAAAATATACATTAGGCATATTCCTAATCTGTTACTCCTGTGAATGACACTACCGTTTTGAAGCGTCTGCAGCTTTTTTTAATCGACAATCATTGCTCAGTGGTATTCATCAGTTGATGCTTTTATATTATGTGTAAGACTGATTAATTGAGTTCCATAATTTATTCATTATATCATCATATGGGATAACTTTCATAATTTAAATAAGTGCGAGACAAAAGTACAGAATCGACACCACAGGCAGATGACCTTAGGACAACCAACCAGACAGCTCATCATTACAAAAGGATACTTTTCATAGTCTACGTTGGAAGTTTCACTCTAATTTAGAGTTAGGAGTAGGGTTATGCTTAAGGTCATCGTGAAACCTACAGTGAAGTTTATTGACAGCATTCATTTGATATATTTAGCGTTGTGAATATCAGCAGAATGGTACATTGTCTATAACCACTCCTATTAGAAATTGGAACCTGTTTTTTTGTCAGCAAATTACAGGCATCTACACTGTATAATTCACCTTCCTAATTTTCGGTTTCCCATGGTTATAAGCTTTTAATTTCATCAGTTCAATTACTCCGCCTTCTTAACTGATGATTTCTTACACATGTTGATCATTGCGGGTGAACAGTGAAATAAAGTTTTTATTCGAGGTTTGACAAACTTTCAGTGAGCATGTTGCTAGATACTGTTAAAATTTGTTTTGAACCTCCCATTCAGTCGACAGAATATGTTGCTGTATTAGCGGAGAGGTATCCTTTAAGTGTTTATACTAGAAGATACTCAAAATGACTTCAATAAGCGATGACTGATCCCCTATACACAAGAGATGGCTGTCATCACTCGGCAGTCTGTTGAAAAGAGCTGTGAAAGTTTGGAAAACACTTATTAGGTTCAACTCTCAGTCGAAACGATACAGGCACATCCGGATGACGAGTCCTTAGTAGACCGAAACGTCAATCTAGAGAGGCTCCACCAATATATTTCTAGGTTTCTAATTGATTTTCGTAAATATTAGAGGTGAATACAACCACAAATTTACTCACTAACACAGCAGTAATAAGTCTACTGCCAAATAGATTCGCTCCTGTTTAGACTATACGCACAGGCACTTATGATTGATGCCGTATTTCTAGTTTATTTCTAAGGGACTGAATATGTTGTTATTATGTAACAGCTTCAATAAACACAAAGAGCTCAAATATCCGCTTAATCAGTACCCCACCTAACGTGTAAATACTGATAGCTAAACTAAAACCAAAAAGGCTTAGTCACTTAAGAATATTCTCGATAGAGAGACACATTTAAGTAGGATGAGAGTTCATGTCAATTTACGAGAATGATTTGTGAACTTACCTAGATAATACTACTACTAATATTGCTATAGTAACATCACAAAAGTCTCTACAGCCAATATATATTAAAGAATGTTTTCTTTCAGAAAATACTCGAGAGTCAATTTTCTAACTCAAGAGGAATAACAGCCGTTGAGATGTGACATTAAATATGGTGGAAAGACTGATTGTTTATAATAGGCTTGACCTGAGCATTCTAATTTTTGGAACTGTACTGAATACAAATTTTCTCCGAGTTCGTGATCTAATTTATTTTCGTGTGTGAATGCTGATCAGTGCACTGCGCTACTAACATAATGATGATAATAATGATAACAGTACCTCTGATAGACTGCCGAATTTTCAGGACACAGTGTGCGAAATATCGAATCGAATGTTTCTCTTCACATCACAGACTGAGCAGTAGAACAATTAACAGGCCACTCACTCACTTACATTGCCAATAGTGACAATAACAAATATGTATATTAAATTACAATTGAAGTGGAAATAATGACAACAATATTATTGATGAGAGAGAGAGAAAATAACTAGGAGGACCGTTGAGTTGGTGTTTCGCACAAACCTCGTAGTTTCATGCCTAACACTCCTCTCATCGCATAGAATCCGTGTCAAATAGGCTATTGTAGGGTTTTTATACTTAGTCGTACGTGGAAACAGTCTTCTGAAAATTGGTGTCAGAACATATTTTTTGACAATAAATTCGAGTTATGCCTCAAAGAATCATTATTTATATAATAATAGGATTAGGCGGTGGAGTTCAGATTTCGCTTGGAAATAAGGATGGGCTCAACATCTGGGTACAGAGTCAAACGTCATTTAACCACATGTATACTCATCGACTCACCAATATGAAGGCATGAAGTAAAGCTGTATGTCAACAAGGGATATCTATATCTACACATATTATATCTACTGGAAACATCACTTTTGTCCATTTAAAGTTGACTTCAAACAGAAGTCCGACTTGGGACAGCACTAACTAGAGACCAAGCTCACTAAGCCTACTTTAGTCTACTCTGTAGTTCAGATTTGCAGTCCACATTCAAGTGAACTTAGTTCACCTTCGAGTGTATCGATTTTCGGACATTCACCTTCACTAAAATGCTTGACACCTACAAACTCATGTTGGTATAGTGTAGTATTCGGATACTGGAGTAGAATACAATTCCACATAAGATAAATGTATTCGACATAACACACACACCGTGATATAGTATTGATAACTGGATGACGTCTGGAGAACAATCTGCTGCTCATAATCGAAAATTCATTCAGTTATCAATGCTGATCACTGTATGTTATGCAGAATCAGCTTATCTAACACAGAACCGAAGAGCTAAATAAACCATTTGGGTGAAGAAATATGCATGATTTCCGTGGAGCAAAGCAATCACTCGGAGGGGATTTTGCGTAAGTGATTATCTTCAAGGAAGTTTCCAACACGAATAAATATCAATGAGCTGAGAGAAATCAACCTATGCATCGTAAGAACTCGGAATGAGTGGCAGTCAACTGCTCACAGCTAACAAGTTTTGTCACAGATTCTCCAGTGTCATGATGACAGACGAGCAGACGAAGTCAGTCAGTCAATCGGGCAGTTTGTCCGTGAGGAAAGCTAACTATTGGTGACACTGAGCTGCAGTCAGCCTAAATCAGCACATCGAAATGATGTTGTCGTGAGAGCTGGCTGCCAACAAGCCAAAATTGTAGACAACAATTTACGTCAATCAATCTTCACTTCCCAAATCAAGGTTATGTGAAAACCAGTAGCAACCAAGAGCTCAACCTTGAGAAAATAACCAACCAATTACAGCGCACTTAGCATGTGCAAATAGCATTCGCAGATACGTGGCTCAACTTTCTGAGGCAAGGTGACAAGAAATACAGAATAACCTTCACCACGAAAACAACCAATCAGAAGACGCTGCTTCTCCACTGACAATAATCGACATACAAACCTATCAATATCTCTTGATTTTTTCAACTAACAATCTGTCGCCTAGGCTTTGTCTTCTGTCGTAATAATATGACAGTTAGTTCTTACCTCATGTTCAAGAAGTAGTTGTATGGTCGCCATGTTACCTGATAGGTATAGTCTTGGTTGAAGATGAAGCTGTCGTTGAGGAGCTTCATATCAATTAAGACGAAATAGCCAGATGTCTAGTGCTCCACGTTTCTCTGGATGACTTGAAAAAGTGGTGGTGTTAACCATCCTGATTTGACGAGATTTGTGCATCACTTCATCGTATGTTGATTAGCTTAGAAACACTTATAGTGAACACATGAAAATAAAACAACAGACAAGCCACCTTCAAAAATAATGAAGGGAAAATGATGAGTGTACACCGATAACTGGGAGACCTGAAACTAGTGATGACAGTAAATTTTTATCACCATCTGATATAATGCGGAGGTATAAAGCAGAATAGGTAGAATACAAGAATTAAAAAACTGTGAAACTGGAAACTGAATGATACCAAACTATCTTAATTTTCTCAAGTAGTAGGAGGTTAGACGCGATACTTTTTCTAGAAGTTAACATAATGTGGAAAGATCAGAAGAAATACACAATCCAAGGTATTTAATATCCCACTCAGTTTCAAATTCATTGCCTACTATGATACAAGAACATGCGAACAAGCCAGT